CTCGATTGTCTCCGTCCTGTCCGTTGCCGACCTCGACCCCAACCACCTGATGGGTTTCGAGGCCACAAGCCTCCAGTCCGACCCCCTGATGGGTGCCATTGCCGCTGGCCTCTGTGGCCCCGCCTGGCCATTCAGCCTCCAGGCTGTCCTCTGGAGCAGCACTGCCTACCTGTGGAGTATATATTTTTGTTTGCCTTGCTGAAAGGCTCCCAGGCTGTCCTCTGGACCTTTTGGTTTTTTGAACTGTGGTTTATGACCTGTTTCTGGACTGCCTGCCGGCTTTGTTTTTTGGTGGTTTTGTTTTTTCTCCCCCTATAGACTTCAGATTATCTGCCAGACTGTTCTGGACACCTTTTGTTTTTTTGTCCTTAGGGTCCTACGTGCAAGTTGTTTTTTCTGTTTTTTTGTTTTTTAGATCTGACACTATCTATTTAGTAATTCCCCTTTAATTAAACTACATTTATCTTAAATATTAAGGACAACCATTATGAATAAATACTGACTGTGGGTCATACCTCTGACTCCTTACATTGTGTCTGCTTGTTATGTATCCATACAGAGGAAAGTGAGAGTCCACTGACAAAACGGTGTGAAAAGCTCCTGGTGCTTCAAACTGCTGCGGTGTTGGTTGTTACGGGACGGTGAGCTCTGCTGAGTCACACAAAGGAAAGTTATCACAACTCCCGACAGGTTCAGCTGCTAATTTGATTATTGACTGAAGGAGGCACAAAGACTCTGTCTGTGTTCAGGTGTTTCAAATAATGCAGAGTAAACTCACTCCCCGTCCCCGTCTGTGTGTGTTTTAAAAGGAACGCACTGAGGAGGGTGAGCTGCCTCAAACACAACTCTGTATTTATCAGCCTCAATAGTCTAGAAGACCTGCAGAGGCTGCAGAATGATTCTTTCTTTCATGCATCATGGTGAGACACATTAGTCAGGACTGAAGAGCTTTCTGTTTTCCCCACTGACATCCTCAGGTCTGGTTCAGGTGTGATCTCCTGCCTTGTTCGCTTCCTCCACAAAATCCACCAACATGGTGTTTTTCACCAGGTTGAGACTGTCTGAACGTCTGTCTGCACCGAGGACAGCTGTGGATTTTCTTCTCATCTTCTTCATCCAAACGCTTCAAATGCAGTTCAAGCTGAAGGTGTGTCTACAGAGAGCCATCAGTGGACAAACGGAGTTTAACCCGGTTCAGCTGAATTCCTTGTTGCACCAGTTTGGTCGTCACAAATGGAGAATGTCCTCATGACAAAATAAAACCTGACAGGGAGTGGTCGTCGAGCTCGGCTTCATTGCAGACAGAGGAGCGGTTTGCAAGAGGCAGTGAGTGAAGTGATAATAAAGTAAAAATCTAAAGACAGTAAAAATTAACCTCTCTGTTGTTTGCAGGGAATGTGTCTGAGCTGCTTCAGTTATTTCCTTGTAAATCCACAGCAAACATATTTCTCTGATGTTTTTGACAAACCAGTCATTCCTGAATGAACACAAGGGAAATACAGCACAATGTTTGGCAAATTTTTAATGTATCTAATCAAGTCTTATGAAATTAAAACGATCTAAATGTCATATAATTAGTCATAGAGATGCTTAAAATACATACATGTCATACACATGTTGGGACAACTGACTTTCCTGCAGCTGTCCATTAGTTTTAATGATCAGTTTTAACATTTTTAATAATATCAACCTTAAACTTTCAAAAAGGATTTTTGAATTTTTCTAGACTACATAAAAAATTGTCAGTTTCAACTAATTGGTTATAGTTTTTCGTCATCAATGACAATTTAGTAAAGGAACAAGTATAAGTGAGTCTTTGAATAATAACAGTAACTTTAAATGTGAAACTGAAACTTGGATTGTATATCATAAATCTGCTTCAACTGCTTCTGCCTGTTCTCAGTTAATTAGCACCTTTTTTGCTTGACTTTTTGCGTGACTTTTGTGGTTTAGATGGCTTCGTTGGATGTCCTTGTGCTTGTTTCTCTGCTAGAAAAGGCAGCTGAACCACGCTGGAGGCCGAGACGTGGCCTCCACTACGGGACAGTCGGTCGATCTCTCGTCTGAGGGTTCTCTGCTGCTGTGATTGTCTCTCTGTCGTCTCCTTGAGCCTCCGAATGTCCTCCTGAGTCTCACGTCTGGTGTGATCCCGGCGCCGCTGTTTGCCCTGAATAGACACAGATTCCTTTAAACACCTCAGTGGTCAAAAATACAACCATGTTCAATGGATAAAAATAACATAATGGGTTTAAGTCTGACCCAGCATTCATTATTTTTAAACCTTTGCACTTCTTAAAGGTGCTCATTGCCCTGGATTGGCTTCCAAAATGTGTTAAATTACATCACATGTCTTGAAGCTAGTTTTCAGGAGAACTCAGCACAAATTTCCTCCTTCAGCAGATGAAGGTGAGAAAAGCCTTCTAGTGTCAAACTTTTAAGACATCATGCTGAGCAGTAAACACAGATCAATATGGCAACGTGTCAGCAACAAATACTCGAGTGCAGAGGGACTTTAGTTAGCATGAACTGAAGCTCAAGTAAAGAGGAGTGAGTTCATACTGTTGAGCAATAATGTTTTCCCAATGAATACAAGCCTAGATGCATACATGACCACTGTAGTCCCCCGCTTTTATTAATATCACATATAAAAGGAACTTAAAACAAAGATCACCTTTGCTTTCTGTCTGGCCTCGAGTTTCCGTTCCAGTCTGACCTTCTCGTCATTGAGGCTTGTCATGCTGTAGAGAAGCTGAGTGTTACGTTCGGTCACCTCAGACAGACGGTCACGCGCCTCGTCCACCTTTTCCTGAGTTTTCAGAAGAACAAATCAAAAAAAAAAAACAAACTTACAATCTAAATTATTTCTTTGTCGTGTTTTTTTAAGTAAATGCCCGAATACGTTTAAACATGGCAGAGATATGGATATCCCACAGTCAGCGTACATCCCACTGTTTGAGCTCCTTTTTAAATGCAGCTTCGAGGCGGCGTTTGTCTTGTTTGAGCTTCTCCAGCTCTCTGTTTCCTGTCTGCGTCTGCAGCGCGTCCAGATCCACCAGCCTCCCAAACTTCTGCATCATCAGCTCGTTGCACTTTCCTTCCATCTCTACACCAACAGACACACAAACACAGCAGAACACACAGATTATGAAGGTTCAGTGGCTGAATTTAAGAACCAGCCAAAAACTAAAATCTGGATAATGACCATCTTTTTTGTTTTCCCTGCTGTGTGTTTATCTAAACTTCTCACTTCGTGTCTTTACAAATCATGGCAGGTTTCAGGTTGAACTGGATGGCAGTTTGAGCTCCTCCAGACTGAGGTTGTTGCTCGATGTGGGTCTTACCTGTGATCTCGGTAGCCATGTCTTCGAGGTTGCGGTTTAGCCTGGTGTACTTCTGCTTAGCTTCAACGTACAGATCATTCTGTTGTTTATTGTCCACCTTCAGCTGCTTGATACATTCCTGCAGTTTTTCAATCTCCATTCTGTCCAGCACCATGACCTCGCCCAGGTCTGATGGCACCAAGTTCTTACTGCTCACTTGAATCTGGAGGACGGAGAGGGTGGAAGGACGAGAATGGACGGAGAGCAAGTGGCAGGGGATGAGTACAAGTCGAGACATAGTTGTGTAGCACCACATAAACTTTTTAAACATGCCAATATTACAATAAAAATCTTGTTTATTCAAAATCCATATAAAATCATTTTTCATTTGTGCACAAAATAATGACATTTCGATTAATTTTTATTTATTTTTTATTTTTTTAATTAAACTTAAATTTCTATTACCAGATTTAAAAATTAATACCTACTGCCGAAATCTAAATTAGAAAATACATTTTTGGTGTATTTTGTAAAATGAAACTGACTCTCCATTCTAAACTAAAACATAAAACGGTGACAGAGCTGCACAACAATGTAAAATTAATTATTTTGACATCACGATGCCAAAAATCCACTGGTTCCAGCTTCTCAGAATGGTATATTTGCTGATCATTATCTTCTCCTAATTCGCTGAATATTATCATGCTATGTCCGTACAGGTGCCCAGCTCACATGTATTTATAAGACACTAAGAATTCTGATGCAGCGGGGTACGACAAACAAAACTTACACTGACAACACTAAACTGTCTTCTCTAAAGCACAGATCATGCATCACTCGTTCGTCTTTGTTTTATTAACTACTTTCTGCCATTTTTTGGATGCAGCTATTCATCTTCAACAAATGATTTGGCAAAGAAAAGAAACTGTCAGTAAATACAGTCTAATCCTGGCTCACTCGCAAAACCTATGAACCCAACAGCAGATATGTGGTCAGTAAAACCAAATGTACGACACCTTGTGAGATCTTCAAAACCTTAAATCTTTAAACCTGCCACTGTGGAGATTAATAGCACTGTGGAAAATATCACTTTCATCCATATTGATGTTTTAATGTGTTAACTGTGCGTTCATCATCTTCAAGGTTACTGGAACTGTGCACACAAAATGTGAACTAGCTTGAACTAGTTGTTTTGTCTTCACACTGTTTACCTGATGCAGTCTGAGTGGAACCACCACATCCAGTGCGTTCATTTTCTCCAGTATCTCTTTCTTGATCAGCTCCAATTTCTTCTCTGCTGCCTTCCGACAGCTCTTTGCTGAAGTCTCCTGCAATGACAAAAAGATTCACAGGTCACGAGTGAACAAAGACAACATGCTAACAGAGGCTCATCAGTCATTAGGAGAGATAAAAAAAAACTGAGTTTGACCTTTTTAACAAGGGAGTCATATTTTATCTTCAGAGCTTGAACACTCTTCTTCTCCTCTGCCAGCAGCTCCTCTAAGTTCTGCCGACGCTCACGCAGCATTGAAATGCACTCAAGCAGTTCTGGCTTGCAGCCTAAAACAGACACTCACGCTTATACCTCAGGTTGAAGCTAGTATCAGTCAAACCATGAAGAACTGCAAAATGACTCTAATTTTGGATTTGAATGGCATTTCACTGGTTTCATAAATATTTTAACTTTTCTTCTGCCACAACACCAACCTGGAGGGCAAGCACTGACGTCCATCGTGGCTCCTCCGTCCTCTGTGCTGCTGTAGTCGTCGTCACCCCAGTCATCGTCCTCATCGCGCTCCTCTTCTTTAAACACACATTTGGATCGTGAAGGTCACATTGATAAGTTGATACTCATAAATCACACACACTGTCACTTTCCCTCAGCTTCACCTTTTGGCTCCTCCGTCTTCACAGGCTTGATGTTCTTTTTGAAGACACTGGTAAGAAACTCTCGAAGCTTGTCGTTGCCATCTAGCAAATTCTGAAACTCAGCATTCAGAGTCTTCTCTTTCGTCTGCAGCTTCACTATGTGACTCCGCTGCAGTTCCAGCTGTTCCTTACACTCCTCCAGCTGAGACTGTCCAGAAACAGAGAACACAGAATTAGATTAGGATCTATTAACAGTGTTCAGAGGATGAGAGCTTCGGCGTTAAAACACTGCTTTAGGCCAACTTCATATTCGTAGTGCACAGAGCCCAATACACAACTACTTAATCCTCGACTATAAAGATTACAAATTAATAAGTGACAAATGCTATTGTTTGTTGTATTATGTCAGCTACAATCTTGTTGCCAAGAAAGTTAGAGTTAAGAAGATTCTTCTGCACAATAACAGCTGAGCCACAATGCGACCAACATCTGAGTGACTATCGACGGTGTCAGATGTGATTTTGACTGAGTGAATGACTGATGGCAAAACTGTTTATTAGACAAATGAGAAAGTCCACATGGGGATCTGTCTACTCTGTGTGTTTTGTCGTTTGTGCTCTCAGAGGTAATTTTAGTCTGTTTCAAATAACTACACACCGTGGGCAGCAATACTGTAGTACATACAGGAAGTATGCAATAATAGAAAAAAAAATGAGAAAAACACTGGTGTGACTGTTTCAACACACTGCTAAAGTATGTGAAGAAAAGAAAGAACCAGCTGCATCTACTAGAACACAGGTACATTAACTGCTTCTCACTGTGATGCTGTTCTCCTCCTTAACGCATCTGTTGAGGTTCTCCTGCAGGCTGCCCTCCCTCTTCTCAAACTCATTGAGGACCAGCCTCTCCTGGTGGACCGTCAGCTGGTGGAGGTTGTCCAGCTTCAGCTGGATGTCCAGACGAACTTTCTTCCGACGCAGCAGTAGGAGCTCCGTGTCAAACTGGCTCATTGAACTCTCCATCTGAAGATTAAAAAGCACATCCACAGATTATGTTTATATACATACATTTACATATTAATGAGATCTTATTGATCAATGAGACTCCAGAAGATATTTTGCAAATGATTACACATTTGAACTAACATGTGGCCTTATATATAATTATACAATGGTGACGACCTTCTTCAGCAGAGAGTCCTGCTCATAAAGCAGTCTGATCTCCTTTTCCCTCTGCAGCTCCTTCTCCAGCTCGCTCAGCTCTGCTCCTTCTCCCACTGCTGTGTCGTCTTCTTCTTCTTCTATAGTTACAGATGAAGCACATAGACTGGAAGCTTTCTCTTCTTCCTCCCTTTCCACTTCTTTATGCACCTGCTCCACAAAACTTGCTACCTCGCTGCTACTCCAACAAAGATTCCCCCTTTCCTTACACCTGTTTAAAAGCAATAAAATACACATATATAATAAAACACCGTTCTTTTTCTGCTTCATGACTGCTACAGATCTGGTTATCTCCAACAGAATCATGTTTTTGAAAAGAAACAGTATTTATTGTCTGCTTTGGTCTGAGTCTTGGATCATAGTGGAACCTAAATCAAGTACCTCTGCTCCCACAGAGGCCGGTATCGCCTCAAGGCAGTGAGCTTGTTCAGCAGCCATTTCTCAGGGGTTTCCTCTGGTAGTATGGAGGGCAGCGTGGGTGGAGGACGGTGGAGATGTTTCGCCAGAAGCTGCTGGACCTTCTGCAGCTGCTGGCCCTGAGCATGCAACCACGATACCAGGCGAACCTTGGAGTCCCGTAATGCCACAATCTGTTTATTCATCTTGATCTGCTTTTCTCTGATCTGTTGGGATGGAAGGAGTCACTGAGTGAATCCGGTCTTTAACTCTTTTTTTTTTTTCATCAGTGATTCATACGTTGTTGTTGTTTTTTTTTGTTTTGTTTTTTTAAATCAACTCTAGCAGCAACATTGATATGTGATTATGATATAAACAGAGTGAGTTTTACTGGTATGGAATGTATGGCATGTGGAATTGAGATTTGTGTTTGGTGTGGTGCTCACAGCTGTGGTTTTAGTTGCTCCTACTAGACATGTAAAACAACATGTAGCTCAATTAGCACCTCGTGTGTTTTTGAGTCAATTAACACAGAGTAATGAGCGAAGAAAATCAGCTTCCTTTTAGCTTTTGCAGGGACCAAATGACTGACTACTAAAAATATTGGGGGTACAAAATAATTCTTTTTATAGATCAGGAAGTCATAATCACACGTTCCCCAAAGCAATTATGCACTTGTAAATATACTGGTGTAGTGTAAAAAATACACATCTTTTTAACTTTGAAGTGGAAATGAGGAAACAAAGAGGGGAGGATTTCACATGTATGAGTGCATGTGCATGTTTGTGTAGTTCTGTAATTTGTACATTTTCCTGCAGAGCAGTGAATTCCTCTCTTTTCCTTTCAACGAGCTCCTTCATGTTTATCAGCGCTGAAGGATTGGTCATGAGTTGTAAGCTCTCTTCGGCTTCATGGATGGCCTGCACATACTGCGGATCCTCATAGTTCTCGTCTGGTTTCTCTGCATAACTGAGACACCATAATCCCGTTTTAGAATAGTTATAGCTCGTTTTAGCTTCAGCAAGCCCTAGCTGGTTCATCTGGCACTGCAAGTTTTAACTCCATGGTTAGGAATGAGAGGAAAAGTCATTGCCATATACAACAACAACAAACTGTGGAAAATATGTTGTATGTAAGAGTAAGTTGCTAAACTTGACACTAACAGTTGGGCCCATTCCTGCTTCCTCTTCTCTATTTTGGCTCGAGCTTTCGTTGCAGCTTTCTGAAGCCTCCCTTCCTGCCGATTTCCCAATTTCATCGTAGAACGACCCTCTAGGGGGCGCAGCTCCTCCTCCTCTGGAGCACACACAAAAGTGAGAGGCCACAAATGTGTTTGACAGGTGAAACAAACACACAAACACTTTCCCACCTTCTGTTTCGCTGCCGTCATTCGCAGGTCTGGCCCCGTGTTTTGTGTGTTCGGGAGCAGCGTCTTCTCTGTGTCCATCAGAGGAGCTGGGTGTGTTCTGCTGAGCTGAAAGGTTGGTAAGAACTGGCAGATGGTAGGTAGAAACTCTGTGGTCACTGCAGATGGTGACCACGGTGACCACGTTAGCCTCTGGAGACTCCTTGAACCTGAAAACAAACAAAGAGTTGGGAGGGTTTGACTCTGAGGACGCTTTCCTAACTTTTTACCGACAGGGGCAATACTAAATATAAATCAAAACTTCTTAGTGTGCCAGTCTGCTTTCGTCAGCAATCACTCTACCTTTTTCACTTGTTGGGGCAGAAACACATGCAGTAAACTAAGTGAAATGTGTATTCTTGTGTGACTAATATCAGCTATTAAACTAATCTCATTTCGTTCCTACCACATACCTCATATGTTTAGCTGTCAACATGGTTACACACTGCTTTGATGGTTGTAGTGAGAATAAACAGCGAAAATAGAGAAGATTAGAGGAAAAGAATTCCACTGGGACACATTGTATGATTTCCTTAAAAACATTGTGATTTTTTGACATGATGAAGACAGGAAGGAGGTCCTAAGTACGGACACAAACCAGGCGCGCTAAAGTAAAGCAAAATGAGAAGCAAACATGACAAACTGACTGCACAGATCACGTAAAGTCTAATCTTTTCAATTCCGATGTGGGACACTTCCATTTGTGGTCTAAAATCAGATACAGGTCAGATTTTTTGCAATGCGACCTCAGTGAAATCAGAGTTCATAAGAATGTTAATCCTGTAATCCTACACTTGTCACAATTCTCTGCTGGTAAATACAAACATGGAAGAGGCAGTCAGTGAAAAGACAAACTCATTGGATTCCACTGGACATCAACTTAAGTGCTCTATCTGTAGCTATCCAGGTAATACAAACATATGTGGCGTGTGTACCAGTCATGTAGTTTGTTGAATGCTATGTTGCAGCGCTCCTGCTCCCAAGCCAACTGTTTTTTGACCTCCATCATCCGCTCGGTCTTCATCCTCTCTACAAGTTCATAAAAACGCGAGTCCAGCTGCAGCTCCTACACACACACACATAAATATATGTTATATATGAGGCTTCAGCAGTCTGAGTAGCCCACATGAATATCGAAGTTATGGACTATTTAGTACACAGCTAGTTCAGTAGCTTCAGTGCGTGCTTTCTTTACCTCAGGTGTAAGGCGAACATGCTCCGGCAGACTCTGATTGTCTTTCAGCACCTGCTCATACTTCTTCTGGATCTCAGCCAATTTCTTCCGCTTCTCCTGGAGCTTTAGTTCAGCCTCCTGACGCAGACGGTCTTTCTGAAGATTCTGCAAAGCCGACTCTATGCTGGAGGGAGGAAAAGTTTGAGGGGATAAAACTTGTGATTTTCTTGAGTCACAGTGTATCTCAAGTTTTCAAAGTTGCATCTTCAAAAGAACCTAAAATTTAATGCAAACAGTAAATGTTCGATGCAGGCATGCTGTTACCTACTCCACAAATCATTTGCTAAGAGAGCCTAAAGGAAAGAAAACTGACAGAAACACAAAGGAAGACAAGTATCTAGTAAACAGAACAGAATGACAGTGGAACAGAGAAAGATCAAATTATCCCTTAACAGGCCAGTTCCACTCACCTGTAGGCCTTGCGGTCTTCAATGTCTGCAGGCAGCGGCTTATTCTCAAGACCTTCCTGTTAGAACCACATGTGAACAAGGTGACATTGCTTTTTCGTCCGGATTTATCTCATCTCCTCCAGCTGAGCACAGACAAACTTTATGACAACATCCAACACCTTTTCTGCAGTTTAAAAACTCATTAACTGGAAAATGTGAAAACAGTAAACAGATTTGTATGGACCGCCTGACAGACTGATGATGTCGTCCATGGAACCGAACGAGCAGTATGGTTAGAAAGAAGGCAAAAACAAAATGTTAATAAAATGTGGACTGACCCTTGGAGAAGGAACCTTGGCCTTCTTTCTCTGCAGGCTTTTCTGTAGCTCCTCTGGAGGAAGCAGGCTGAACGAGAAGATGTTCCCATCGTCTCCCGCTGTCAGCACAAAGTGGTCGTCATGGCTACAGCGGATGTGCCGCAGGTGTCCGTGCTCGTTGTCGTGGACGCTGAGAGTCCAGTAGGCCTGCATGGAGGTGATGCTGTGATCTCCAGGCTGCAGAGGGTAAACTCTGATGGAGCCTGAGTGCATGCCACAGAGCAGAAGCTGCTTGTCAGAGCTATGAAAAAAGACAAAGCAGCAGGAAGGACATTTTAACTATCACCTTTAACAGGTTATGCTACTGTTGTTCCATATGTGACTTTAAATTTTACAGTCCAAAACATTCCCTATGAATCTTACTATAGACAGATTCATGTCATTAAAAAACAGTGTGGATTTAGTCCTATGAGTGACAGCAGACTGATTTGTTTGTTTGCTCTCTTGCTACCTAAACGTAATGGCGAGAATGGGGTCGTCATCTGCATTGTGTACAGGCAGGGAGTCAAAGGGCACATCATCCTGCTTCTCTGGATCCGCTTCCTGTTTGTCAGAAAACTTACAGTGATACAAGAATCCTGAGTCAATTCCACCCTGCAGGGGAGAGAGGAACAACGAGAAAGAAAATCGGATTCAGTCGTTACGGGGAATTAAAGCTCTGTATTATATATGCAATGAAGTGTTATTATTTAATTTGTTGATATACCTCAACTAAGATTCTCTCTCATCAGCTACAAGTATTGTTTACATTTTGTCTCACATTATTGTTGGTATATAAATGAGCCACCATTGCATCAAAGCACAGGTTAAGATAAGGTTAAAAATCTGACACAGCATTTGAATACATCAGGTATTAGACAATTTCTTACCTTTTTAGTAGGTTCTTGCTGTTTGTTGAACGCTGGTGTAAAGCCACACCCCTCATTTTTTAACCGAGTTGACTAATTCAGCTGAATTAACTTCCTGAAAGTTCTATTATCCACAGACTACTGAGATGTAATTGTGGATAGTCAAGAACTGTATAGTGTGTGTGTGAGTGTATGTACCATTGAGAGCCAGAACTGTCCAGGCAGTGAGTAGAATCCACAGTAGAGAGGACTTGGAGTGTCAACACTGCAGAGAGGTGGTAACTCTTCCTCTTCTTCTTCTGTGCCTGGCTGCTGTGATTCTTCTTTCTCTCTCTCCTTCTTCTTCATCTTCTTTGTAACTTGACGTCTTATGGTTTCCTCCTCTCTCTGAAACACACAAACGCACAAATTAAAACAAAAAATGGTCTGACGTGACATGGAACCACGCAGCAAGACATGAAAGACAGAAAATACAGGGAAGAGATGACCACTGAGATGATATCAGGAGAATTATGAAGTGCAGATCAGACACAAAACATACATTATGCCAGTACATATAGAAGTAGTTTGATAATACATCCATGAGTTGCATGTATTTCATCAAAGCACAACAAAGTACAGCTGACACAGAACAAATTCTGACCTGTAGTTGAGATTTGATGCTCCCAAACCTGAATGATCTTCTGGGCAGCTCAGACAGGTGGAAGGTTTTGGCTGGCTGCTGGGCCTCGGGATGCGGACGCTGCACCTCGACCACATGCCCGCTCTGACACAGTATAAGCAGCCTGTTGTCAGGCTGAGTAAAAATGTGAAACAAATCATCAAATAAATTACTTATTTTGCATCAAAAACATGGGCGAGTGGGCGGGCTGAATTGTAATTTTGTGTAATTCCTTCTCTAAAAGCAGAAGCAGCCAGAGAGCAGACTTACATGGGAATGAGGTGACCACTCCAGCGCCTGTACTGCCCCAGGCACGTGAATAAAACCAATGGGCTGGTATTCATCTTCTACAGTAAAGAAGAACACCGTGCAGTCTACGCTCTGATGAAGACGGTTGTGATTTGAGATCAGAAAGGTGAGACACAGCAAAAAACAGGAAACAGGAAAATTAAACAAAACTATGTACTAATAAAGTGTCTACAGAAACGTCGTAGTGCTACTACATGTGAAAAACACTACAGGGAACTTTTAACCAGCTACTAACTTCAACGAGTCGAAATTGACTAAAGCTTTAGCAGGATAAAAACTTCTCAGTCACTTTACACACGTTACTACTCAGTGAATGCAGGGATGTGTTCTTTTAAGAGCTAAGCTTATTTCAAAACACAAGATTTCCAAAAACAGTTGTTTCAGCTAACAATAGAAGCAAACAAAGAGCTTTTGACAAACTGCTTCTTTCTGTGGAGTCATGGGTTTTCAAATGCAGCCTCTTACAGTGGTAAAAACCCTGAAAACCTCTTACCCCCGTGGCTAAGATCTCCCCGTTTCGATCATATGCCACAGCAGTTACAGCAGCATTGTGGGGTTTGACGACCTGTCTGAGGCGCAGCTTGGCTTCCTCTTTAGAGCTGCGCCCCGTCAGTACATATAGCTTCTGAGGGTCGTAGAACTCAAGTACGCGGACCACCCCATCTTCAAAGCCTATCAGCAGCAAACTTCCACTCTCATTTACCTAAAGGCAAACACCAGAGCTGCAGAGGTTAGTTTACTGGAGTCACGATGTACATGGGAGCATTAGTCTTATTTGTATCAACACACTTACTGACAGTGGAGCCCAGCGGAGAGTAGTTGCATTATTTCCGAAAGAGACAGTGGTTAGTTCTCTTTTTTCCAGAAAGTCAAAAACTTTAACCGAACCTGGACAGCAGAGACAGATGAAGACAAAGTACCTGATATAATATGTATGTTTGCTGAAGTGTTCATAAGTGTGCAGGTATGGAAGCGTGTGAGACTCACAGTCCATAGCGATCGTGGCCATCAGATGGGATGTCTTCGACACATCCAGGCTCTGGATCGCCCCGCGGTGAAAGGAAAACAAGCGAGCTGGATCAAGAGTCTGCAGAAACAGGTGATATAAATACGGTTTACACAGACTGTGTACAACTTGTTACAACAATGTATTTCAACAGTGTTGAGCCAATACAATTCTTTTATTAGCATCTGTATTACCATAAACAATGTGTTCACCTAAGTAAAAAAATAAAATAAATTGAAGCAATAATAACTTCATGCTTTTCTTTTCTGTTATAATTAATTACAGTCTGTCAGATTAAAGAGTGTGGACATCTGGACTGTGGGCTCATTGATTGGTTCTATCTCTGGTGAGATGTCATTGATAGCTGAAGGCTTCCTGAGTTTAATTATGTGACAGAAATGTTGACAGTGCAGAATGAAGAACTGGTCATTGCAAATCTTAGTGTCTTTATAAAAACCAAAGTGGCTGTGTAGGAAACCGACCTTGTTGCTAAATGAAAGATCCAGTTTCCAGATGGCTCCATTGGAATCCTACAAGACAACACAGCAGAGAAGACATAAGTCTAGAATATGGTTTACGAATAACCTTAATAAGTGACCTTTGACCTTCTGCCCTCTGACCTGAGCAAACCAGATGAAGGAGTCAGGCATGGAGCTCTTCACAATAGAAGAGAGGCAGACGTTGCGTCCCACCACCAGCTCATTCTGAGGCTCCACCTCAAACTTGCTGCTGTCAGTGTTGCTGTCAGCAACACTGACCAGCTCAGAGTCCCAGGCCTGCAGGAGAGACGGGGAAATACAAAGTCATACTGGCTATTAAATAAACAGATTACAAAATATCTCCACCAGGATCAGTTCGTCTAACTGTCAAGTCAATTAACCCTTCAAAGACCTAAAATAAATAAATGGACTAATTTCTAGCTGCCATCACACATAAAACACATTTAGAGAGGAAGCAGCCAAAGTTTATTGTCTTATATAATTATAATCATATATAATTATCTTATATTTTGTAATCAACCTCTAACCTAACTTAATACTTTTTTGGTATTTCTTTATTTGTAACTGTTATTGTCCACGTTTGCCAAATTGTTTGACCATATTTTTGGACGCCAGAAAGTCAAGCAACAGCTTTGGCAAAAGCTAGACAAACCAAACAATGAACAATAATCTCTTGCATTTCACTCTCCAGGCCTCGCTGTGTTGCTTGGACATTTTTAGTCCAGTTCACCGAATGTGAATTGACATCATACCAAGAGTGGCTGCAAATGAAAACGTTGGCCTGTGTTAACAGGTGTCAATTGTCCATCTTGTCTATCTTTTAAGCAGCCTTACTCGGATCACTCCATCTGAGCCAAACGTCAACAGCTGCCCGTCTTCCAGGGCAAACGGCTGGACTGTCCCAGCGTGGCAGGTCCGTCCATTTTTATTGCAAATCTCAACCTTTATATCACTCCGATCCCACAGCAGCATGTTCCCCCAATCTGTACCAGACACCACCTGACAGAAGATAAGGAGAAGTAACTGTTTGTTCTCTTGACTCCAACAGAAGATATTTATAAAAGAGGATTTTGGAAAGCTCGTCGTTGACCTTGCAAACAGCAGTTGAACAAAAACAATCAAACACAAAGTCCACCCAGTAGCAGTAAGTCTCACATTAGAACTTTTCCTTTTTCTAAACATTAATGCCCAGAAATAACTGTGGTTTATTCCCTATGCCTTAATGTTGCTATTTACCTCTAGAAACATAAATTATAATTCATCACAACATATTTTAGGTTTTGAGAGACTGTAGAGATTGATCATGGAACTAAAACAAAACCAAATTTAAAACTGATGTCACTTTCAGTTCTGAAAATGACTGAAACGCTGTATGTTTTAGCTGCAGTAGTGGCAAGCATGGAACTGCAATGTTGATCAATCAATCAATCATCATTACACAATTTATAGAGAAAGAGTCAATCACACCTGTTAACCATTAGTTTATGTGGAAATCAGACAAGAAATGTGACAACAGCAGGGTCAAACCTTTCCATTAGGAAGTTCCATGAAGCCCTCAATATCAGTTGCTGCAGTTAAGCCAAAACGCCCCATACATCCTTGCAACTTAAGACCTGTTAATGTGCTATATATTTTCCAGAACCTGAAAAAGAGGAGGAGAGAAGATGTTTTTATCTCGCATGAAAAAATCGTGCACAGAAAAACCTTTTGGTGTGTCAAGCCATTTCCATGACAGCTACAGTTTCAAGGGGAAGTTATGTATTAGACTATTTCTTGGCTGAGAGCTGGGATTTCCTGGAGCTTCGTCTAATTATCAAATTCACAAAAAGAAGACTCCAACAAGTAACCTCCATCCATCCATCCATTATCTATACACCGCTTAATCCTCACTAGGGTCACGGGGCGGCCTGGAGTCTATCCCAGCCGACCCAGGGCGAAGGCAGGGGACACCCTGGACAGGTCACCAGCTCATCTGTCCAACAAGTAACTTGCTCAGAATAAATAGTCCCACACCCATATGACCCCCAGTAACACCAGCATTTAGTGTTTGTTTAGTGTTACGCCTTCACTTCTGTACCAGTTAAACAAAATATAATGTCATGTACTGAACTTTAGAGGCGTCTGTAAGTGGATTTTATTACATCTGAATATAGCCAGCCTCTCTGTTTCCAGCAGCTCTGCTAAGCTCACCAGCTTCTCTCTACATTTATTTTCTTGCTTAACTGAAATAGTCCTATTTCTTTAAAAGTTCCTATGTTTGTTTTTTGGCCATTTTTACTTAAATTGACAGTGAACAGTAGACGTGATGCCAGGAAAAGAAGCCTTAATGCCTAAATTTTTACAACACTAAAGCGTTTCCTTTTATCAAATTACCATCATCTGCACTTTGTCAGTTATTCACTGGAGAAAAGAAGCCTGGGCCTAAACATGTAAACCCTGGTCATTTTTAACAACCTTTAGACACATTCATTGTGTGTTTTACTTGATGTGTCCGGATCCTGACGACGTGAGCAGCTCTGGGTTGTATGAGGAGAAGCAGACTCGGTAGACGTCCTGAGAAGTGGCTTTACAGCTCAGCATCACTTTCTCCTGCCTCCAGTCCCACAGTGTTAGCTTGTAGTCTGGTTTGTTGCCCACGCTGGCTAACAGGCTTCCATCGTGGTTAAATTCAACGTAGCTGTATGCACGCTCAGTACCGCCTATAGACACGTAGTTTAAAATACTAGTATGAAATAGCGTAACATAAGGAATGTGAAAATGCGTCTTTGTCCTATTTACCTCTGAGGATGCGGTATGGTCGTAATGAGGGATATTCATAGACGATGATGTTTGGCTGGTTTCCCTTCTCTGCTGCAGCAAAGTACTCCTTGCTTGGGTGTACCTACACACACACACACACACACACACACACACAATAGATAAAGACAAGGTTTTTTTTTAACAATATCATTAATTTATTTTTGCTCCACATCCATGTGGAAACACTACATCTTTTATAGAAACTGCAGTCAGGTGGCTCTTGATAGCCTTAAACAAAAGCTTTGTGTCAATAAACAATCTCACTAAAACTTAGAATTCTTTACTTGGATTATTTGAATATTATATCATATTTTATAGTGTAGGACAGTACGATGATGATACAGTTGGAGAAATCCATACATGAGCCTGCATCTGAAATTTGCACTGAAACGACAGATAAACAAGTAAAACTTTGCCTTCGTCGTATAAGTGATATGATGACTCTTACTTGCAAATACAACACACGAATTTAACTTGAATTTTTGGTGAGCTCAGAGAAACCTTCCACTTCTAGCAAAAGAATCTCCAAACAGCCTTTTCGTGCCAAACTCTGATATCATTCTCCAATGTGGAGGTCAAACAGTCATGTAATGCCCAACACATTTTTGAGTGAAGGAGAACTTCAGAAGACCTCCAGGGTTGGTTATCATTTCCATACTGTATGAAAATCTATACGCAGACCCATGAAACTTGTTTGAGAGAACCTCAATTCTACATTATTCTTCTTGTGAAAGTTACATAATATTTAGAGGCAGTGCAGTTTGTTCAGATCAGATTGGAGCAAAGAGAGAAAATATTTTCTAAAAGCTCCAAACACCGAAGTGTGGTTTGAACAAAGATTCTCTAAAACCACAGATTGTGTATTGAAAAACAGAAACAAAGACTCAGTGATCCAAATATCCTTTTTTAAATAATAAATACAGCAGTGCTTTTGTAATTTAGCATCAAATGTATTACTATTAAGGTGCTAGCGTACGATCAGATGATTTCACTTGAAAGTACGTAGAAAGTTGACGTGATTCTCTTAATCGTTTTATCTAGATTCAATTTGTATATGCAGCATTATTTCCACTATAAAATACAGCAAAACAAGCTACTAAAGCATCGCAACTTTAAAGCTGAGTAAACGTAAAGTTATCTTCCTGTTTGATTCTCTCTGGTGTTAGTCACATGTAGACAGGAGCCTGGGTGTGACTCTTCACCGACATATAACACAGCTCATGTTACCGTGATGGAGCCGATTCCTCCTCCGCTGCAGGAGCGCAGGTATCTCTGCTCTTTGGTGAAAATGTCCACCAGCACAAGCAGGTTTCCAGCGACAAAGATCAGAGTTTTGTCATCCAGTACCTGCAGGTTCGACCTGTGCCCGCTGTCGTAACCAAAGGAGTGACTGAATGCAGGACGAATGAAGGGTCAAAACCAGATTCACTGAGATTTCAAACGATTTTTACTTTAGATTCGATAGTAAGAATAAACATGATATATAGCTTGAAAAATAACAATACACCTGCACCTTGTTCTTCATTAAACATAAGACTTTCACTATTACTATGTACGTAGTACTATTAGTGCTACCAAGGAGTACTGACTTTAACAGACTGACTTGAACCCCACTGAACATTTACGGGGCACTTGACAAGTGAGAAAGCCGAGCATTTCTGAGAAGCTCCTTGGAACACTGTCATGTAACGCTGGGATGAAGGTTTGAATGCAATAAATAATCAAGTAAAAGTACCAGCTGATCTAATAAACAAACACACAAACAGATGAGACTGAAAGTTATGTCTTGGCAAAGAATCAAAGGCACTTAAGATTTCCAAGTCAGCTAAGAACATACTCCATTTTAGTGACAAAAGTCAAGAGAGTCTTATTGTTCCTCTACTAATGGATTACATTAATATACTACTCCTGAGAATGAACGCTGAACCTGTAAGGTGATCATCTGACCCCTGTGTGCGAAGCTGTGGTGTGAAATGCTTTTCAAAGAAGGATACTGGAAGTGCAGGAGGTTCTCCGGGATTTCAGAGTGTGGTGTGACAGTCGGTCTGGAGTAAAGCTCGTCATACTCGTAGTACATGTCTGCAGGCAGCTGCTTCTTCGATTCGCCCTCAGCATCCTCTTGCATCACTGCACGTTCACATTCTGTAAGAGAGGAAACTTTAGAAAGCAGATGTTTGCCAAAAATGAAATAATTTGAGCAATTGGCCTTAAAAATGTCAATATATATTTATATACCAATTTCAATCAGACTTCTGCCCACTGTCTAACTTCTAAACATACATTTATTCACAACTTTTTGGTGCTAGACTTTCATCAGGGGAAATGTGGGGGGGAGAAGCCGTCTCCTAAACATCAATCTCATAAAACAGATGTGCAAAACTCAGGTCACTGGAGACTTGAATGGATTGATTGCCAAGGAGTAAATATTAAACCACCGCTGTCAACTCAACACCATCTTCCAATAAACATACTTCTCTCAATAGCTTTGCATTAATGTATGGGAGGGAGAGCTTTTATTTATGTCAGTTAACTGATTTGTGTTCTTCAAATATCGTTTAAACTGTCAAACTTAGATCATCAACTGACATTTCTGCCACTTTCATCAATTTGTCTGCCTCCAGATTCATGTCAGTTAATTAGCAGTTCACTGTTTTTTTAAGACTGACACTTCTATCAATGGATTCAAAGCTTACATTTAACCCAAAACCTCATTAACAGGAGCACATACAGCCTTTTCTACCTCTGTTTTATAACGCTATATTATCTGTGTGCATAAACGTTAACGTAGTTCAGAGTGAATATAAACGTGAACCTGAAAGCCTTTAGCTCGTTAGCTTAGCTTAGCTAATGCTACCTACCGTCAGCGTTTCCCAGTGAAGCCGTTTCTGCACTCACAGCAACGCTTTCTTCCGCCATTTGTGCTGTTAAATTAAACTTCTGCCGCCTACTATCTGTAAAATAAAACTTTTAGAACAGCACTGAAAGGTTTCTACAACTTCACCGAGCGGGCTCTTAGCTCTCACGACGGTTAGCAACTTCAGATTTCAGTTACTCCGCGTCAAGCTAACGGCAAATAAACGTTTTTGGGTTTTTTTCCGTTAAACTGTGAAAAAAATTAATAGTTTGAATTTTAAATGTAATTTATTTCAAAATCAATGTAAAAATAAGTTTTACTGAAATTTTTACTAACATATTTATTTACCTAAAATACACAAAATCCATGGAAAATCAGCAATTAATTAGGACCTTAAAATTATCTTAATTAATTAATTCAGGAAATCTTACAGTGTTATTTTTAACAGTGGGCATAATTAATGTATTTAATTTATTATTATTATTATTATTATTATTATTATCAATAATAATAATAATAATTTAAAAAAAAAACTTCAATTAAACAAAAGCCATGTAAGGTCCCCTTAATTTAGGCAATTAAAAAATAAATAAATAAAAGACATCCATATATTTTCACCAAAATTGTCAATAAAACCATAACTATTAATATACTTTTAGGATTAATAATGGATGGGTTCATTTTCATAGTGTATTGCCACCTTTTGAATGCATCAACTGGAGCCTTTTCTGCATCCCTGTATTGTAGAAAAGTATTTATGTAAAGGAAGCTTAAAATTCTGGTAATAAATGACAGTACAAAGCATAATGGAACATATTACAGTGTGAATGTCACAGAATGATATATTTTATGGTAATAAAGTCTTAGAGTCCGTGTAACTTCTCATAGATCTACATCGACCAAACCCACATTAGTCAACACACTACTGAATAATTAAAAACGCTCTTGCGGCTGGGTAATGCAATGTGGATTTTAATGGAGTTTTTCAACTAAAGCAGTTGTGATTCTGGATTAACTAATGATGTTTAGCACAAATCTTTATTTTGTAAGGTTTTGTGGGGTCTAAAGGTTGGTTACAGTCAGAGATTAATAAGTTTAATTGGAAGGTTTTACAAAATTTTAGATCTTCTAACAGCAAAATTATGCTTTTCAGTATCATGTTCACTTGTTTATTGTGTCTAATGTTCTGGTGCGATTAATTATTGTCAAGATTTAGCAAAAACTAAATAATCTACAGTTAATTCTAATACGAAGAGTCCTGCTTGAGTCTTGTAAATCCAAACGCAAAGCAGGTGGTGTGTGGAAAGAGTCACAGAATTAGCAAAACAGTGCAATCTCAATGTAGGGGAATCGAGTCATGTCCACTCTGTAAATATTCCAAAATGTAAATTAAAGGAGAAAAATCACATCAGGTGTCAGCAACAGTATAGCAACATACAACACAGTGTGTGCAGACTGTCAATGGACAAACACTTGACCTGTTTTTGACATTTTATACTGTATTCTCTTTTAATTTACAATTTCAGAAATGTCTGTAACATTACAAATATGTAAAATTGCCATTTAAATCAGTGTAACATCTGAGCTTCCCATCACTTCTGTAACTCAGCTGCAGTGAAAATCTTTCCAAAAACTTTCCAGTGCATGTATTCAAAACACGTATTAAGTTGTTTATATATTCTGTTCATAATCAAAACTTCACCTGTGTTTTGTCGACTAATTTTATTTTTCTCACAAAGTTCTGGCAGCTTGCACCGCGACAGCTCATTCAACATCGTAACACTTTACAGACACATAAAACTGTGCTGGTTCATTTTTTTTTTTTTTATCTCTGTATGTACACAAATCTATATCCATGTGCATATGACAGCGTATTTGTTCAGTCGTGTGCGTACAAGCTGCTGAGGACGACATGCAGGATCGGTCCGTGGGTCTGCGCTGGGTTTGCAAAGTTCGCCACTGTACAGTTCAGGGTTTTGTGATGTGAACCTCGCTGGTGCCGCTGCCGTTGGTGGTCGTGGTGATGATGTACTGCGTGGTGGCTTGCTGATTGGCCGGCTGCTGCTCCAGATGTTCGGTGTGGGCCTGGGTCGTGCTCTGAGGAACAGTCTGCTTCGTCTCCAGCTCGCCCTGACCCTCGGAGATCACGTAGTGTGTCTACAGGGAAGACAACGGTCATAAGTTATGCAGTAAAGGCTTGTGTCTTTTCTATTTTAACTGTCTAGGATGTAACTCCCATCTGATGTAAAACCCAGTAGGTTTCAAAAAGATGTGCATGCAGAGAAATAATAATTCAGTTCTACAAGTACAAGAAGAGCAGAAAACACATTTCACATGAGCTCAATCAGACTCCTGCAGAGTCACATGAGATTATTGCTCCCAAGTGGAAATTTATCTTGTGCTGCTCACAGCTGTTCACCATGCCGGTAGAGAAAGTCGAACGATGAAGATAAACAGCCAAATATGCAAAGGAAGCAACACCCATACATTAATTATCAAAAAGAGCTAAGTAGTATTGCACACATTATCAGACAAATGATTAAAATAAACACTTGTATTGTAGCAAAGCATATCTAAAAAAGAACAAAACACTGAACATCAGGTGATCAAAAGCAACTTCTTAGTTTGAGTTAGTATCCAGGTTTTTTTTTTTTTTTTTTAAATTTAAAAAAAAAAAAAAAAAGCATTTCTACTGCAACATAAAGTCCAGCACCTCTATTCGAGAACTCAAAATGTTTTTGTGCGGTATAAAAAAATTATAAAGCCAATATCATTTAAAAATGAAAGAAATTGAATTCCTTAGATTTATTTTACAAAAAGTGAAAAAAAAAAATTTCAACATGGACAACATCGTTCAAAGTTCCCAAAGGTGTTGCCAATACTGCAACAAAATTAGGGTGCCTTTACGTACTACAGAAATTTTACGAATTGTCTCCTGTTTGTTTTGTGTAAACACAACCTACAGTTCAACCAAAAAGCATCTGAATTTTTTCAGGTGACTTTTGATCATAGCTAAGTCAATCATGGCTTCTTAGTTCGGATAAGAAACACAGATTTTTTTGTTTTGTTTTCGGCTGAAACTGCTTGATGTAAACACTTTATTTGTGGCTTTAATTACTTACAAATTCTTTATCTGTAAATGTATTTGCTGTAACAGACTGAGACAAATATATATATATCCCATGCAAGACTCAAGCTTCAGGATCTTTTTTTTTTTCTGCATATGTATGTAATCAAGCGGTTTATTTTGAAATAGACATCCACATTAGTTATAGCACCTTATAATCTTGGATGTGTCACTAGTACTAGCTTGAGTCTTAACCATGAAATCATTGGTGAAATTTTTGTTTCCTGACAACGCTCACTCACCGTTTTCACCTGGTTGCTGTTGACTCCAGAGACAGGGGTGCTAGCTTCAGCTATCACATACTGAGCATGAGGTAGAGCCATCATCTGGATCTCAGATGCTGCAAAAGCAAGACGTTAACATATAATTTTCACTGGTAATCACAGTATAAAGCCATCAAAACATTCAGGACCTGATTGGATAGGTGAGCAGTACGAGACTCACAGTAGCCTCGGTAGTTCCAGTTTCCAGGTATGTAAGCGTGCTGCACGGTGCCCTGCTGCTGGGTGCTGCTTGTCTGGAGGGTGTGGCTCTGAGCTAAAGTGACGGGAGTCAGCTGGGCCGGACTCAGCTCCTGATTCGCCTGCTGGGATGTGGGGCTCAGAGGCTGACCAGTAACCTGCTAAAAGGGACAATGGATGGTTATTATTTGTTATGAAGGTTAATCTGTTGGACAGACACTGAAGTTGAAAAACTACCCATGGACTCTTGAGATTCTTTAGATATGGAATGACATGTGATATACATGACTTATGTGCTCTAAATTACCGGTCAACCCGCCACAGAGCCTGTGCATGATGGGGGTTTACCTGGGTGGCACCTTGTCCGGTGCCTGAGGGCTCAGAGACTTGGATGTGTTGCACCTGGATGGAGTGTTGACTGTAGCCATGAGGATCATGCAGCTGGCTCACATCTACAGTCGGGTGTTGGGAATGTGGGGAGGAAGCCTGTGAAAGATGGAGAAAACATATAACAAACATGAGATGCATTTTTTTAAAATTAAATCTTCAAAATACAGCAGGAACTAAAGCACTGTTTACCTGCAGACAGACCTTCCAACCCAAAGCAGTAATTTGCCAGAATGCTCATGATGGCTGCTTATTATTTTCAGCCCTAACTATAACCTCAAATGCTTTAATTTGAC